GGAAAAATGTGCTGGATTGACCGATCTGTTCTGGATGCTGCGGGATCGGAAAATTTCCATTTGAAGAAAAACCCCTTAAATTTACCGCAGAAGAAAGGGGAATTTTGAAGAGAGTCGTGAAAAGATCACCATAGACTTTGATTCTGCATTTTAAAAGGGAAATGTGGCTTCAAAAAATTATTTAACAAAAGAAAAAAACATGCATGAAGCCATGAATGATCCAGTGAGCGGTCGCGCGTGCTCCACGCGATCAAGAGGAATCGCCGTGGTCCTCGACTCGAGCGAGGGTTAACGGCTGCGAGCGACGTAGCCGAAGTGGGAAAATGAGAGAAAAAGAGAATCGGATGGGCCAGAAGAAACGAGTCCATTCTTCAGCTTTGGCCGGTCTTCATTTCACTCTGTGTTCCGCGACGGACGAAGGTAAATGCACGTGACTGTTCGTCACGTCTGCCATCGCGAGTATAAAAGACCAGATAATCAAGAAGCGCTTCCTCCATCTAGATGATCCCAGACAATCCGCCAATAATCTCCAATGTGGAAAAAAAAAAAACGGGCGACGTACGAAGGCGAAGAGGTGCCACCACCGGTAGAAAGGCGTCGAGGGCGCGACCATCTTCCGGAACGCACCCAACATGTACACGTGAGCGAAGAGGTTTCCCAGGGAGAAGACGGTCGACGCAGGCTCCTGGATCCCCAGCCATCGGACGAACGGCCACTGCGGGAGTTTGCGACGAGTCATTCGTCCGGAATTCCTACGAATATTCGTGGGAGCGGAAACGGACGGGGGTCGATCACCTTGCCGTGATACTGAGGGATGGGCGTGCCGTCGCGAATGAAGGCGTTCACCCTCTGCCACATGCAGTCGTAGCGGCACTCGTCCTCGCAGCCCCAGCCGAATAGGTATAGGTTCCAGCCCTGCTGCTTGTAGAATTCCTCCAATTTATCTAGCGAGAAAAAAAAAAGTTGCATTTCGATGGGAAAGGTGCGGCATTTTGTCAGAAATGAAGGCGGGACTACATCGACGGAGCATTCCATGGAATCGGACGTACCCGGGGAACAGGTCTGCGACAAGCAAGCTCTGAGACATTGTTCGTAACCAAATTCTCTATCCCCTTTGGAAGAGGAAACCAGTCTCGCTTGACGGATTAACTCGAATAAAATTAATGCAAGGGCTTGCATCATCACAAGGCAAAGGAGATATGTGCAAGTTCGAGACTTTCTCTCATGTCGTTATCACCACCATGCTGCCAACGCTAGGAAATAATGAACATGAGATCATAACGGTGGGGTAGTGCTTAGGACTCCAAAACTCAGGAAAGTAAAGTATCATAAGTATCATAAGTAAAGACACGAGAAAAGGGCGGGTTTGATGCCATGCATCAACCCTGGAATGGGAGACTCCACTCTTGCCTCACTGTGCAAAAATCAGGGTTGGCACATATTCATTTCATGGGTGGATGTCCTGATCTCATTGGTGAACCGGTTTAGTCAAGGGAGGGATAAAAAAACCCATTGAAGATGAAGAATTAAATATTGGGGATGCTGTGATTGGGCCTTTAGGCGTAAAACTAAATCTCTTGAAGCAACAAATCATACTGAAGCCCTACTTCATACCATGCATATTGCAGTCATTGGTTTATCCTGTGATGAAGAGGTATGCTTATTTTTAAAGACTTTGCCTGACAGTCATTAGGGCCACTGTTCCTTTGAGTGTCAGTCTAAAGCAGTATACACATCCTATTAACAGACCATAGACAGGTTCACTAGTATTACCTATGACATGGCTTCACCTCATCTTTAGTATCCAATCAATGCATCAACACTTTCGGCTCCATACCCGATTTGTCGTCCGGTCCCAACGGCACCCTCGAATCGCCCGAGTCAAAAGTGTTCTTCGGCTGTTCTGGAAGAGGAAAATACTTCTTATTCCCAAGCAAGCTGGTGCTATAAATAATGAAACAGTAAATCCAAATAAGGTAACAGCTACAACAGTTTTGTTATTCAATAACTTTTCACAATGCTCATCATCACACTGACTAGATGGAAAGACAAAGTAATGACAGATCTGCAACAATTTCAATAAATAATATTTCCCACAGAAGGGATGACATCGAGTGTGGGCGTATAGAAGAGGGTGGGGATGCCCTCGAGGGTGGAGCTGGCGGGAAGATGGAGTTGAAGGGTCGATCCGGCTCCCACGATCCCACTCCCATCTGGCTCCAGGCTCACTGACACTCTTTGTGCTCCATCTGTCATGGGAATGATACCACACATGAAAAGACATGGTAAGAAAGACCACTATAGAGACAGATATGGGGTGATTGATACCAGACTCAACATGGGATCACAGGAACATTCAAGTTCTAGTTTGTTCAATAGAATGGAATTTGTCTCAAACCCAACCTGAAGGAAGGAACTGTTCTTCCAATGTCCTTCCACTAGACGGATGAGAGGACGAGATGAAGACTTCCGTCAAGGGGATCGTCCCCGTCGCGGACGTCGGTTCCGGGTTCCGATGAATCGTGCATTCCTCCTTGTTCTTAGGATGATGCTTCCTACATGGAAAACAATCTCCAGCATGATTTCTTTTAATGACATGCACCAATGAATAAGAGACTAAAGGGTGTGTTACTTGTTGTGCATTTTGAGATCCCAGGAGTTGGAATAGGACTTGTTACAGGAGACGCATCGATGCCGCTTCTCTCCTCGGTGTCGACGCTTGTGCTCCTCCAGCTTGGTGCTGCGGGTGAATGCCTTGTTGCACTCCTCGCACCTGAATGGCTTTTCACCTGCAAACCACATGATTTTCAGTTCATTCTAAAGAAAAAAAATCAACACTCCAATCCTCTACATGCCTTGGCTTAGAATTTTTCCAGCTGATGGGAAGTGCTACAGATCAGAGTCAAAAGTGACAGAGTGCAAATTAATTTTTTCATGAAAAAAAAATTAATGGAGCAAGCATGCCTGTTTAAAAAGTAAAAACCTAGCTATCACGCTAGGATTGCTGCTCCAAGGGTAGAAAAGACCTTTTCACTCTGAAAATCTTCTCAACTAGGTAGCCCTTTTTCCAGTTGTGATGCAGTTATCATTGCAGGATGCAGTCATTGCAGTGGACTCTGGATTTGCCAGTAAGGAAGAGAAATCAAGCATGTGATATTGCTATGAACAATCAAAATATCTAGTCTTGTAGTGGCACCTCCAGTACCTCCTTGTGTAAGGAGGTACTGATACAAGGCTAATATAAGACAACTTATATACCATTGATACTAAAAACAACTGACAGTAACCCTAATTGACTTGGAAGCTATACAGATTGCATTACACAGGTACAGTACAGTATGACATGATAGGCTTAACACTGAGCCCTGGCAAATTGAATGCCCTTTGGGTGTAGGACATCATATGCAAGCTCCAGGGCTCAAAGTATTAAGGAAGAATATTTGCCACAGGAGAAATTTAGGAACATTGAAATTTACCAGTGTGAGATCTTTCATGGAAAATAAAGCGATCACGCCGTCTGAATTTCTTGGAGCAGTAGGAGCAGGAAAATGGAGCTTCCTCGCCTTCGGAGTGGCACTGCCGATGGTGAGCCGTCAGTGCCGACTGCCGCGTGAACTTGAGGCCGCACATCTGGATGAAAAGCACAGTCTGTACTACACACGGAAACAATAAACTATCAAAATATATGGAATTTCTCCTCTGCATCACTCCTTACCTGACAGAGGAAGTTCTTCTTAATGTTCCCAACCCCATGCATGCGAGCGATATGATTCGTCAGGAAGATTTTCTTGATGAAACGCTTGGGGCAGTGTTCACAAGCAAAATAGGTCTTCTTCTGCTCATGATGATGGACCTTGTGCTTGTGCAGTGAAGGCCGATACTCAAAAGACAGATCACACTCATCACAGAAGAAGGCTCTCTCACCACTGAGAAGAGGAGATTGGAGCAATCAAGTTAACACCTGAATCTCTTCTGCAAAAACTTAACAACTAAAGATATCTACTTCATAAGTAGATACCTTTCCACCAATTCCACCTGTGGAGTTGGTGGAAAGCAGTAAAATCAACTTCTGCCCATGGTCTTGCATCAGTAATCAAGAGCAGAACAGAATTAGGATGATCTGAAAGACACTCAAGGAGAGTTTCCCATTTATTTTTTCCTTTCCCCTAAAAGTCAAGGAAGTATAACTCCACCCATGATGACTTGAAACTAATTCTGACCTTGCAGCACAGTGCAAGGTATAGCATACTCAAGAGGAAGGGAGGATTTTTCTTATCATTGGTGTTATCATTATTTGGTGCAAACAAGGTATAGACACTGATAATGCTATCTGTAAGTGGATTGGCCAAGAGATTATCTAGCCCCAGAACAAGGTATTCATTACAATGCTGCAATATGATCATCAGGTTCAATGTCAACATGCTCTTCAACTTCAGCTAAAGGTGCATTAACAAGATTTGACTGGCAGATAAAAGAGGGTAAAAAGCAACATATCAGATAATAACTCAAATTTTACATACTGCACTTGCCAACTTTCATTCTGACCAATTAGTGACTTATGACACTGCCTTTCTTCACCATTTGCATGGGTGTGACCAAAAGCATGTGCACATTTTCTGAAGGAAATGGTAGGTAGAATGCACAATTCAAAAGTCAGAGTTGTTGCAGAGACAGGCTGAATCATGCATATGTAACATATTAACTTTTTTGCAAGGGGAATGCCAGAAACTAGCATAGGCTATATTTTCATAATAATAAAAAATGAAGTCACATGGAATGCCCAAGGTCATCATCTGCCTCAGACCTCAGTCATATACCAAAATCAACCATAAATACATTTTGTATTGAGTTCTTATATGGATGAGGCTGGAAACACCTGTAGCAATGTGAAAACCTGATGGCTAATGATGCCATATAGAGTAAATGGAAGATAACTGCTGGTTGCCAGTATATCATGAGAGCCCCAATATTAATTACAATAACTCACATACTTCCATTTATAACCTCCAATGAAAGAAGGGGATCCCAAACCCCCAAGGAGAGGCACATCACTCACTGATGGGATTTGACTTTGTGCCGGTTCAGAAGAGCACGGGAAGAGAAGGACTCGGAGCAGAGCTCACAGGAATACAGAGGCAAGACCTCACATCGAGACAGGTGGTACGAGATCCGCTCAAAGCTCTTGTAGCGTTCCTTGCACGTCGCACAGATGAAAGCCGTGAGACGTTTGAGGACCTCGACACTCTGGGCTAGGATGTGACTTCCATCAGTGCTTTGGCTCTCCCGTTCCATGTTCCCTTGGGTAACCTAAACAAAAAACTGCAATTAATAGATGGCAAAATCCTGTACAAGCCCCATCTGTTCAATAACTTTTGGCTCTGTCAGCACTGGATGCTCTGACAAAAAACCTATTTCCACCAAAAGATTGGAATCATACCAGCTGGGAGACAACAGGAGGCAGAGTACAACGATGCTTCTTGAAGCCGTTCACCGTCGGACAAGTTATGCGACACGTGAGGCACGTGAGAAAAGGGAGTCCCTCTGGGACCTTCCCCACCAGCAGCTCACCATCTTGAACAGAATGAACCTTAGAAAACAAATATTTCAAACTGATTACTATGCCAGTTCCACCACAGCAAGGGGATGATGGACAAGATCCTCAAGACATAGATTGCTGAAGCATCCAAGTTTCATTTGTACTGAATTGATTAATTCGATTAAACAACAAGCAACAGTACATTTTTCTGTCACATCCCATAGATTAACACTAATATTGTAAGGGGCCTTTATCTGAAGTCAAATTGACCCATCTACAACTACAGATATATTCCATGAAAATTCAAATTTTTTAACAATAGCTAAACCAGGGTTAATGTTAACTCACTATAGCAAGTCCCTAATTCATATTTTCTCGGAGGGACTCATATTTGCGAAACATCTAGGTCCATGGGACTCATTAACAACCACCTGAACATGTTCCCACTGAGTTGAAGCTAGGTGCCAGGACTTAAGATTTAAAAAAGCTAGTGTGAACCCTGTAAACTATACCTTGGCATGGATGTTGAGATGCTTCTTGTTAGTGAAAGTGCGAGGACAGTGCAGACATTGATGGCCGACTACTTCCAAAGGAGGCTTTGAAGTGATAGGAACAATCACTGGATCTTCTGTTGCTGTTACTACATTTCTGAAGAAGAAAAAAAAAATTAAATGAAACTTTACAGAATAGGTAGACATTTACAAACAATCCAATGTACTCTCAAAAAGCTAGACGCACTGCTTGCAAAGCTTGCACAGATCAGACACAGGTAGATTCGAATGACGGAGCTTGTGATGCTTCTCCAGGGCCCTTGCCGACAGGACTTTCGTCTGGCAGTGAGGACATGCATGGGGCTCACGGTGTGCAACACTCTTGTGCTGATGCCTCAGGTGATGGTTGTACTCGGGAAGGCAAGGGAACGAGATCCCACACTCACTGCATGAAAATGCAACTCCATTCTCCCTCTCACCTGCCATGATGTATATTTCTTCATGACCATTTGATCATATACCAGTATAAGGAGTGCAGAGGCCCACATATGCATAATTTGAGTGTCATGGAATTGACATTAACCAACTTTTTTGAGCTCCCTCTTGCAATGTTTCCAATCTCATCTAGCAATACACATGAAGTAAAACTTAATAGAGAAAATAATTGGAACAGCTGAAATGCATGGTTTGAAGCACAGATAGCAGTCATCTGCATAGGAATGCAATCTGAATATGAATACATAATTAATACAAAAACATGAGGTGAGGTTTCTCTATAACATTTAGCGCACTTTCATCATTCACATGGCAGTGAGCAACCCTGGAAATAATCCACCCACTTAGTCTCTACTAGAGATGGGTTATTCAACAGCCAATAACCCATCCCTAGCCTCCATAATGTGTAGGTGTTCATCTATGGAGCTCTCTCTCTCTCTCTCTATCTTTCTGAAAGGAGGACCAAAGAAAAAAAAAAAGAATCAAAATATGCAACCAAATGTCTCACTTCTTTGACATAGTTCAAAAGTCTGGGATGTGTTCGATGGAGGAAACTGTAGAAGCGTCATGTGCTCTTCGTCCGAATTCTTCATGCTTACTTCCTCATCTCCCACTGAGAAAGATGGATCTGAATCCATGAAAGAGGTGGGTGATGAGATTTCCATTGAAGCCATGTTAACAAGTTCCAATGGCTGTCTTCTTCCCATCTCTCTTTTCTGTTAAAAAAGAAAAGAGAATAAGAGGGAAATATACCAATAACATGGGTAACAGACTTCTAATGGGTATGCAAGGCCCTAAGTGTAGTTTTGAGCTCCTATGACCTGATTTTACAGACTGGATAAATTTTAAAAATATTATTCCCCTGCCTGTAGTCCTAGTACCTTAGGCCACCTTTAGGTCATGGCTCAAATGGTAGAAATGCAACTGGAAGCTCGGCAAAAGTGACCCACAAATCACCAATGGAGAATGCTAAGCAGTTTGGCTACCACAATGCAATGCTTATATTTCCATCAATTTTTGCAGCAGCTTCAAAGTTCATCCATAGTAAGATACAGAGATCATTAAATAGCTCAATCTGCCTGGGGAGATTTCTCACAGTCAATGGAACAAAAAGTCCAGTATTGTGGCTCTTTTCATCTGGGACAATCGACAACAATTTACAAAGCACAACCTCCTTCCCCTACAGTCGAGTCCCTTTCTACAACAGAACCATCAAAAAAGATGCTTTCAGTTTTAAATTCAATTCCCAATATCATTGCATGCTGAATTTATGAATTTTAGCTGAATTTTATGCATTTTACTTCAATCTTTATTCAAATTTTACACATCTTAGCATGTTTTAAGAAAAGCCTAACCTTCTTGTTGATGGTAAGAATATTCCTAAAGGTTGAGAGGAACTCAGAGGTTTTTAATAAAACCGGGCTTTCAAATACTGAAGACATAGTGGTAGCCCATTTATGCTACACACAACAGGTCTTTTATAACCTAAGACCTGAGCTGAAAATAATAAGCAATCTCACCCTGGGAAAATTAAGTAGCTCCAACAGGACCAGCAGCTCGGAATGAATCTGATCACAAGTTTCCGTGATGGATAGAGAGGGCTCATGGCAGGCGTGTGGTAGGTTACGAATGTCTGCATCAGGCATGAAGCTCACCTGCATCTCGTAACGGAGGATCCCCACGACCATCATCTAGAATAACAGGATTGGTTCATAAAATGTTGTAACCCTGTTTACTTTAACTTCATGAAGTATAATTTTAAAAGAATCAAGTACACTTCAGTGCAGCAAAAAGAGCAAAATGATTACAGTTTTTTACTTATACAGTATATTGGCACTGAGAAGAACACTGTGATAATGCTAATTTTCAGTTTGCACACACACAGGTAAACAAATTTTGAAGATAAACTATCAAGATGCTACTCTTGAAGTCATGACATGATGCAATACATGTATTCTTTTCAAAACTTTCAGGCAATTTTGAATTCCTTCCTTCAAAACCAGGTAAGACTCTCCTCTACACTTGGCAGTTCCAAGATTGAGAGAGAGCTATTGTTACTTGCATCTGGAGTACTACATCAGAATCCCATACTAATATTTTTCCCCCAGGTATGTACTGCGCATACATTTGGTTCGTTCAGTCTCTGCCAGATCATGGCCTCTATTCCCCCTTGTGTGCACATAACATAAGAATACCGCTACATATCCACCATATTAGTTTTATGATCTGGCGCCAGGACTTGAGACATTCATTTGAGTCGGACCGCTAGGATCCTGGCAAATGATGCATGAACTGCAGCTTTGGGCTCGTCCGTCGTGCAGTATTGCTCTTTTGCCTAAAGCTCATTTCTGCAACCACACAGTGAAATGTTGCATTTGGTGAGATTAGGACCTCGTGGAGGCCATGATAATAGCGAAGATGATGTGCAATGCTATAAGCACTTGTATCAGCAATCATCCAATCATTCATTCAATCAATTCGAAAAAGTATAAATAAATTTTAAAATTATCATGGGGTGTCCGGACTTATGGCCCACCCTGTACACGTGTTCAACGTGAACATCAATCTTTCGCACTGAACATTGTGAAATTCCAGGACAGTCCCCACATGAAAATAACATCTGATGCATGAGGCCATCAACACGAACTAACGCCATGCGTTAGACCATAAGCAGAAATTGCAAACCTTCTCCAAGACCGCCGTGAAGGTGGAAACAAGCGGCTCGAAAGGCTTCCTCCAGGCCGCCATGATGCCAGACAGAGACATCTAGCCTACGAAAAGGGAACCACTACTCCACTGGTATCGAATGATGCCGAAAGAGGTCGTCTGCCCTCTTCCGCAGCTTCTGGCGTCCACGGTGAGGCTTGTCCTCGGTATACTCTCGTGTTTTTCACGTTTATTCTGTTATTTTCGCGCCTGTCTTGCCTTCATGACAAGTTATTTTGTTTGTTTGACAACCAGGTCCTACATTGAGCCGAGTCCAGTCGATCGAAATCTGCCAGGATGACGAACTCAAAAGGATACAGAAGGGGAACGCGGTACATGTTCTCCAAGCCTTTCCGAAAGCATGGACCGATTCATCTCTCTAGGTACATGCAAGTGTACAAAATTGGTGACATCGTCGACATCAAGGTTAGTTACAGTGAATTCGATTATCATATCCTATGGTGGAGTTTTGGGTTACACAGATGTAATAACGTCAGGTTGCAGGTCACCACAGACCTAACGGATATGCAGGTTTTGCACTAGGCCTAGGCCTAGTGACTGTAACCTGGTTCTTACTATTGAGCAGTGGAGGAAGTTAAGCACAGCTCTGAGGGAAAGCAACTTCATTATCAATCTATACTCTTAACCCTTGGACTGTTATAACACGGGGGGTGACTAATACGTTTTCGTATAAAAATTGGCGCTGCTTGTTTAAAAACAATAGTTTATGTAAGATAAGTTCATATCATGAAAACTATTGAAGGTAGCTGTTAATGCATAAATAGCTGTGAAGTAACTTAGAAGCAACGAATGTTCTGAGCCTGAGAACTTTCTCAGACTACCACTGCATACTTATGTACTTGGGCCAACAGCCAAAGGGTTAATCATGCCTCACTTTTAGTCTTTAAACCAGCTTTTCCCATTATCTCAGATAAAGCAAGTATGTTATGGCATTCCTCTACTCTGCCTTATTCCTTCACTGCCAGCTTCCATTCTCCTGCTACTCAGCTGAATGAAATCATAACAACTGGCTATACTATGTGCTACCTTCAGCTAAATACCCTAACATTAAACTACTTATGAAAGAAGTGATGGAATGCTGGCCAAGCGAACCACATTACATCTGTATCATGCTGTAGGAAAGGGAAAGTAAATTTTATTCTGAGAAATGGTAAATCTAACCCCAAATCCAGTTGGCTGTCTTTTTTATTAATGTCATGTATATGTATACCCACTGGCTAAGAGCTGTAGTTTAAACGTGAAATGATGGACCAAGTCCAGTATTCCTTCTTCTTGTGCACACTGTGAAAACACTGCACATGAATCTCAACTTCATTATGTGAACACTAATTTCCAACAAGGACTGAACCTCCTCTCCCACATTCGATGTGGAGCATGGTACCAGACATAACGGCAAGCAGGATGAATGTCCAGTAGACCTTGTTGCCTGGGCATGAAAGAGATACGATTGCCTTTTTCCTTCCAGACATTGGTATGCCTCAGACATCTGTGAACTTCACCAACTTTGGTATACCTGAACGTCTATCCCTTTGTCAGGATGCACAGGTTTCACTTGTCAATGGCAATTTTCACACATGCAAAAAAAACTAACTCCATTGTTACATGTTGAACTCTTGAAACAAAGGAAAATCCGTCATTGGCTTGCGAGGGAACCAGTCCCCAAGCTGGAAAGTGTTTACCAGTTTGTGTATAGGGTGACATTACCCTCACCCCTATCACTTCCCTTGCACTTTCACCTTAATCTCATCATAGTTTGGGAAGATGATACTTGTCCCCTACCTATATAAGCTTAAGCATGTTCATGCAGCATCCAAAGTGGGATTTTCATAGTTCCAAATCACTAAAGGGATGGATTGTACTGAGGGATGCGCCTGCACAATGCGCCATTAATTGGCTGCCAAAACACTTTAACATATTAACCCCTTAACTGTGCTATTTCCACCGCCCATTCATTTTCTTCAGTACAGATTGTAGTGTAATATTACTCCCTACATAGTTAGGTAAACCTTAACAAATGGAAAATGGCAAATTATCCTGAATTTAACTAAATTAAGCATAGAAGTTAATACATAATGTATTGTTGTTGGGGAAGGGTGTTGGATTGATATCTCACACAGGGTGCCTAATATCCTCAGTATGGCACTGCCAAAGAATGGCAGTCCATGATCTGGATATGGTCCTTCTATCTTCTCACCTGGGGAATGACACTTCCACCATTCAGTATGCTACAGGTATGGGGCTTCTGCCTAATTGCAGAAATCAGTGTGCCTATTTGTACCTGCTCGCCGTTACATGGAGCAGTGCGTTCCGTGTTGAGTGTGGGAGTCCAGCTGCAGCTCATGATTACTCCCTTTTCCATCTGGGAGAACAGCACTCACTTCTAAAGTGGTGGTTGTAGGTTGCAGTATGCACAAGTGCAACACTCGCGATCCATTGAAAATTATGAATGTCTAATATCACCACTAACAATGGGCACGATTGGTGTGCACAAGATGATAGAATACCCCGAGTCCTTTAGGGATGTGCTTTATTAAGGTTCTGTCTCTCCCTATAATGTCACAAGCAGGTAACGACAAAGTTTATTGTAATCAGGTTTCATGTTTATTTTGGGATGGGGGAGGAGGAATGAAGACATCCGTATGAAATTCCATAATACCCTTTATGTTAACTTTTCCTCAAATGGACCAATCTTGTGTGTTTAATGTTTCTGGGAAGGACATGTTTAAATGTTGCTCACAAGAGGAAGAAGCTTCTTTGTTTCCTATCTTTTGCTGATGATAAAAGGCATGAGCCAGTTTTAAGCAGGCTAGGAAAACCCTTGTGAACCAGCAAACAAGGTTTGCAGGGATGGAGATGCATGGGCAGGTGACTGGTCTACTCTGCTTGCATATCCTTCCTGGGAAATTACAATATGTTCCCTCAGGTTTGCAGGAAAAAAAAAGTTTTTCTTGCACTGGTCCTAAGGCCATGACCTGTAATCCTATGGGTTATTGTATGTCTTGTGAACACCCACTGTAAGCCTTTATATACACCATGTATAAGGCTTTGTACACCTATCATATGGTGACATGAATATATTTCTGCTCTCCCTTCTCCATACATTTCTTATGTGGATGACATGAGTGGCTTGCCATAATCCCCTGTCCATCTATTTTCTTTGGTGTTTCCGTGCATCTACATTGAGGTGCTTGAACTTATGTTATCCTCACCATATCTTCCTGCTCCTGCTGCAATTTGCCTATCTCTCCTTGGTAGCAGTATGATTTGTGTTGATGAAAGCTTATAGCCCACAACAAAAATTATTCTACATATTCCTGAATGCCAAAATGCACATAATTTTTTCTTCCCCAGTCATGCCTTTATCCCATTATCAAAAAATCCACTGTAGTGGATGGTGTCACTATCTGAAATCAATTGAAATGCCATAGGTGTGCGAATTGAATCCAAAATTGGTACATTACTCTGTACCAGAAACAGCTTTCTTTAGTTATATAAATCCCTCCAAGTGCGTCCCCCTATCCACCTTGTCCATGCCAGCAGGGAGCATTGAAGTTTTATCAGTTTACATTTTTAAAAAGGTAGTTGGTGTCAATGCAGGCATAAAATATGTAGCATTACTTGATTGTGAGGTCAGCAGTCCAATAATCAAAGCCGTTAGAATTTGTGTGAAAAGCTAGGTTCATCAATGGTATCAATATGGCATGTCCCACAAAATTCCCAGATATTGGTAAGCTGTCTTAAGATGTCTGAATCAAAGCTGGCAAATATATATTAGGCCTTCACCCTTATACTCTAAGTAAGGCTATCTTGATGCAGGATACAGAATGAAATTCTGACTCTGTGTTCATTTTTTTCCTCCCCCAATATAGGGTGATGGATCTATACAGAAAGGGATGCCCCATAAAATCTACCATGGGAAAACGGGGCGTGTTTTCAATGTCACCCCTCATGCAGTGGGGGTGATAGTCAACAAGCGAGTCAGAGGAAAGATCCTAGCCAAGAGGTTCGTCTCTCTCTTGCTCGTTTGCAGAAGCATATACCAGAAGTTCTTAACTTTTATTCTCATGAGTGACATGTTAAGTTACTGCAAACACTTCCTGATCAGCATATTTGATTTGCCGAACACATCAGAACTGTCTTTATGGTGTGGTCCTGATTATGCCAAGACATAAAGTAAGGGCCTTGGTGACCCACATAATAGGTTATGCACAGCAAATAGCAGAGTGAGCTTGGAAAAAAAGAGCATGGTATAGAACATGCACTTTGAGACTAAAATTGAAGATGGAGTGAAGAAGTCCTAGATGGATTGCTGTGGGTTAACATGTTTTGGTGCTATTGCTAGGAAGTCCTGTTGCTTCTATTACTCTGTCCAAGGAGGCTGTTATTATGAGATCTTTATTCTCACTGTGCTAGGAGGCCTGCAAAAAAATAATTCTCTCTTAGTGAGCTCAAAGAAGAAACAACCCTTTTGAAAGAGAAAAAAAGCCATTAGTAATGACTCTCTACCTTGGAAATGTTCATTAGCTGCAGCTTGGGGTATGAACTGTGAAGTACACCACCATTGGAAAAGTGAGCTAATAAGATCTTGAGAGGTGTCCTGGTTTTGGGAAAGAAATAGTCTTTTTTGTAAATGATTTGGAAAGCTGTTGGCACATGGTCTAAGGTTAGCTTTGAGTAAAACCTCTTGCAGTCTAAAATACTAATGTGTAAATTTGCTGAGAATGGAGCACATTATCTGGATTAGAAAGCAGAGTTGAGATATGCCTCAGTTGATTAGTAGCAATTGGAAAAAGTTACTAAAATAGATGAAAATTTTGGTTAGTAATGGTATCATTTTTACTGCAACTCACTGCTTGGACATTACCAGCTCTCCATGAGAGGTTCTGGAGTGTATCTATTGCTGGCCACCCAATACAAAAATTGTGGAGAAAAGGAATTAATTGCATTATATTGAACATACTTTAAATGGTGCCTTTGGAGGGGTATTTTTTATTTTCTATGTCTAAAGTGGTGGGACATTGTATGTACAATGAGTGCTTCTCTTCAAAAAGCCATACCTTGTCCATTTAATTATTTTGACAGAAAAGGACATTTCTAAGCATTTCTCTTTTTTCTGTGTAGGCCTATGCATTCATTACCAATTGGAGTTATTAGTAAAAGTTTTCCTTAGTGTGCCTGCTGTGGCAGGCTCATTTGCAAACATTCTGGCTTTGTGAAGCTGTAATAACTTATTGCACAACTTGCTTTTGAGGAATATACCTCAAGGGTACCCAAACATGTAGCCTGAACCACGATGGTCCAGGATAGTTTCAAAATGAGATAATTTCTGACATGAAAATAGTCTTAACCCCTTAACAGGGAAGTTTTTCATGAAGTTCATATTAACCTATGGGAGGTCAGACGTCAAAAGATGTCTAACCCAGTAAAGGATTTAATATATGCAGTCTGAAATAAGGCATGTTGAGCAGCCTTGAGTCAGCTGCAGAGAAGTATGAACATGAATGCCATTCATTGTGGCTGCACATGGAAGGAGAAGTTTCCCTCTTGTAACTCTTGACTCCCCATTCACTTGCCATTTAAATTTTAGGTAGTTGGGAATGTTTTTTGCGGAGTCTTTGACCTCTTTTGACAGAAAAGTGAAACTTCATCACATATGTCCAATGTACTAGCATTAACGCACAGTTGATGTATGATTTTTTTCCCTTTTCACTCAATCGATTGGCTTGATGGGGAAGAATGCTGGGGTTAGCTGATTTTATCTGAGAAGGAAGATCATGAAGCACAGTTGTCATTGCTTTGGATCTGTGGGAAGGATCATACTGCAATTTCTGAATTGTATTGAGAAGGCTTTCAATGTAACTATTCCTACCATCAAAGCACTTGTGCAAAGCATCCAAAAGACCAGAAGAGGAATTGAATCAGCTCTCTGCCACCTACAGCAGATGAGATTTTGCCAGGCTAAACTGCTCATCCTGGGCTGAAGCTGATTGGGAACATGCATGTCACCATTATCAGAAACCAGATTTAGAGGTCATAGCAAGCTCTTGTGCAATCTGTGGGTACTCCACTAAATTTCATATGTTCTCCCCCAAGATGGATAAGAATATGCATGGCACTCCTGGTTTCTTTCACACTTGATGTAAATCAGTAGAACTATGTACTCCCATTTTTATCTTGATAATGTTCTCCTTGATGTGTGGATGGTACTGTTGAACAGAATCAACGTGAGGATCGAGCATGTGAAGCACTCCAAGTGCCGAATCGATTTCTTGAATCGGGTGAAGGAGAACGAGCGTCTGAAGAAGGAGGCACACGAAAAGGGGATCGTGGTCAACCTCAAGAGACAAGTGAGTGTAGTGCTTTCATCCATTTTTTGAGGCTCCATCTTTGTATCTATTGACGTTCTGGTTCCTCTCTGTTGCAGCCTGCTCAGCCGAAGCTCGGACACTTCGTGTCGACGAAGGATAATGAGCCACAGCTCGTGCAGCCCATCCCTTATGAGTTCATTGCTTGAATATCACCTCATGTGGAAAATTAAAAAAAATACTATTTAGAAGGTGGTTTGGTGCTTTTATACACTTCAATGTTTTGACTGGTTGATGGTCCATTGGTTCCACTGAAATTTGACAAGAACTGGACATGTTCATGAAACACTCAGAGAATTTATGCTTGGGCAGCTTAAGAGCCATTCTATATTTTGCTTGCAGCCTCTATGCTTTGCTTTACAATTCAATTCTGGGAATGGTTTTGTTAGACTGCTCCTCCAAGCACTCCACATTTTTGAAAGCATCCATCTCTCAGGTGCCTGTTACACTATTCATTTGGTGACTCCATCTTCTGCCATGAACTCCAATAGTAAGGAAACAACTTAATTCACGTCTCAATCATATCAACTAGATCACAAGTTGCCGGCATGAGAGTTGCATAAATTACACTGTCTTTGGGAGTGTAAACCTACTATGGAGGAACAGTAATATACATTGCATTAGGATAATTCCAGATAAGAGCTGAGTCTGGTATAAAAATCAAGCAAGTTTCTCTTGCTATTTAGTTCATTTTTCTGAAAATTTGAGTGTTTCTGTATTTAGTGTATTGTTGGTTTGTTGTCCAAAAGTGCTTTGCCCAGAACAGAACAACTGCTAATTTATTAGCAGTGGTGGTTACAAGTGAAACTATATGTATTGTGCTTAAAAAAAGGTGGCTTTGACCTAGACATCCTTGCTTACCCTTAGGGTGTCACTAAGGGTATGGTTATTGTCTCTGTGGCTGGTAATCTTTAGTATTGTGCTGCAGGGTTTCCTCGAAAGCAGGGAAGCTCGTGGATGTGACCAGCTTCATTCTCTCCAACTTTCCCTTTCCATTCCCTTGACAGCTTCCCTTTGCTTGCAAGCCTCTCCTACATCTTTCACAATCCTGTCTTCTTTGAACCCTGGTTGCTTCTAGGAATGAGACGCTTGTTTTAACAAATTTCCTGCTAGAAACCCTGCAGGATTAAAGATGGCTAATTATTTTTTCACATACATGACTAAGTGGCTAATTTTGGAGGTAAAGGACAAGAGTGTCGACAAAATCATGAAGCAGTTTGTCATGATGACTTGAGAGTTTCTTCTTGAGTGATCTCTAAGAGGCTTGTCGCATAAGATATCCCTTTACAATTACTGACCACAAGTGACATGCAGACTGGTTTTTAATCTTGGCATGTGACATGCTACCATAACATTTTGAAGTATGCAACTCATACTGAAGCATGACCAGTGCAGACTCTACTGCTTTCTTCCAAATTTGTCATCACAGCTTCCTTTGGGTTAGCCTGTCTCTTTTGCACGATGAGACATCTGCTCTTAATATCTACTTGTGTCAGAGAACTTTCCAGAATGCATCCCAATTGAAAGAACTTCCATCAAGGGTGGACGCCACCCTTGCTGAGCAGAGATGCTCAGATGCATGGTGCGTAGAGCTTTGTAAACGCGATGACACCTGTGGATAGGCTGAGGTGCAGCGGTAATGCCCAAACTTGTCCGAAATTCTTATTTTTGGTATCGGTTCCTCGTGTGCGACTCCAGGTTGCCCTCGGAAGAGCGATGCAGCAGGAGACTCTGCCGACCCCGCTCTACGAGTACGGGGTCTTGAAGAAGATCTTCTCCTTCCTCCCCTACCAGGACTTGAAGCACGTGGCCAAGGTCCACCCCATGTGGAAGGAAGTGGTCAAAGTGGTGATGAGGGGGCGGCAGAGCATCCACTGGCTCCTCTGGGACGGGCGGCGAGAGGACGATCAAGAGGAAGGCTCCCTGGCGCTCTTGCACCGAGCGAAAAACCTCTTCAGCGAGCCCCGCTTCACCGTGCTGTTCATGGCCGGGAGGCAAACGCGAGGTCGGATGTGTGACTACTCCGAGGTGCAGAGCAAGGCCATATCTGTGATCGATGCCATGGATTTGTTCTACCCCGTCGTGATCATATGGTCCGTGGGGGTGTTCGGGTCTTCGTCTTGCGAACTCGACAGGACCCTCTTCGTGCATCACTGTAACGGTCTCTCTGCCATGACGATCCCTCACATTCCTGGCCTCAAGGTGTCCGTCTTCAAGCTGGGCAAGGAAAGCTTCGTTGCAATGAATGAAATTCGTTGGAACCCCATGTCGTCCTCTCAGTGGGAACAGTTCACCGGTATCCCCTGGAACTCCGACATCTCGTCGTTGATTCTGTTCATGCATTCGTCGTGGTCGGAAAACGTCGCTCATTGCATGATGAAGACCATTTCGAAGCAGCAAGACGGCCACTGCACGTTCGCTTCGTGCCTCGTGAACGACACCCACACCCAGCCCTCGGGCGGTCTGTACGGCCCCACGGAAGAGGAACGGTTCCACCTCGGCATCGCCTTCACGGGGCGGAAGGTCCGGTCCGCATCCCTCATCCTCTCGGGGGACCTGAGACAAGACGCGGCGGAGGAGAAGATCCGAAGCCTGAAGATGTGCAACCTCCCCGAGCAGCGCTCCTTCGCTTTCGGGCTCATGTGCCCCGCGGACAGCGTCTACGTCTGGCAGGAGGTGATGTGCAGGCTCTTCCACAAGTACTTCCCCTCCACGCCGCTGGTCGGCGTCATGAGTCCGAACCTCACCTGGGCCGTTCCCATCTTGGGTTTCGAGTACCTGCCGTCGGGTAGCGAACCGGATGGGGCGGGTTCGCTCACGAACATAGCTGGGATGTTGATAGTATTTATTTGCGTCGAAGATTGAGGTTATGGGGCGATGTTTGCCCTTTTTGCTACTTTTGCGCGAAGATTCACTACGTATTGTGATCCTCTTTTTAAAACGTGTTCAGCTCAGCGGTGAAATTTGAAGCTTGTCAGGAAAATGATATATATTTTATTATTATGCCTATGGTATTTTCTCGATTATGAATAGAATCCATATTGACGTAGGTGCATATTCTTGTGCATATTGTAGGAAGACTTGCATTTTCATGTTCGCTTAGGGAGTATATATTTACTTACCTTCAAAGATAACTCGGTGCATGCTTTAGGTAAACGATCAAATCTTAATTCTCTCGCTCGGCGTCCCATTCCTCTGCCCGTAAGGAGAGAGAGGATTTGAGGGCCTCCGTCTTCGTCGAAGAAACGAATGGCCGTTATAACGCCGTGGCGACCTCGCGCATTGAGGGATGTCTAGGCTCATCCCGCGCTTGCCTCGACCTCGTCGAGTATCTCGTAGCCACTATATCTTCTCTCGAAAGGCACTTTGAGTTCAGATTATGACGGATGAGCTTGGAATTCTTTGTGGAGAAGTGGGCGAGGAGATCTCGAATGAACGAGAAGGCATCGACACAGACAGGAACTGGGTGCCTCTTTTTTTTTTAAATATACGGTAGGGTGGACGATGCCAGTTCGAGTGTAGTTGTCTGCCCAACAGTCTTCTGGGCAAGGACCCAGGATAGATGATGGATAGTCATCGTTTAACTTTACATGTGTTGCGTCGTTTCACGTCCAAATTAGTTTTACGCACATCCAGCGGCGTTGCGTTGGGTAGGAGAGGGGCTGAAGTCCGTCAACCGCCAGGGCTGGAACGGAAGTGGATGTTTTCCTGAAAGACGGGCACCCCGACCCAGGCGGAAAGCTGCGCGTGCGCACTGGGTCGTGTCCGGTTGCAATAGTTACTGAGGACAAATGGAATGAAGAGGGGAAAAAAAGTGAAAAACCGATCGCAATATCTGGCATTTCCCCATAACTTTAGGAATGCCAGGTAAAGGAGGAAATGACCCAGAAATGCATGATAATAATCGAGAAGTGCCCACTTCTGTTTCCACACTATGCTCACATGCTCATGCTCACATCACTCAGTCGCTTTTACCTTCCACATTTCTCGTTGAGGCCATTCAGTGACACAGTATTTTTTCTGCATAGAATGATTTACCCCGTCGATTTCAGCAAGCAGTTCAGCTCTTTATTTCCACAATAACGCTTCAATGCACTGAACCTGATTTGAAAGCTCGTTTCCCTTCAAACCAGGGGTAAGACCAAAATGCAAAAAGTTCATTTCCATCACACGGTAGTACATAATAACAGGTACTCGAAATCCATTGACAGACGATGCACGATGGGGTGTAGGGATTGGCCATTAATTCGATTATATTAACTCGATCGTGAAGGAATCACAATTTCACGACGGACCCTTGTACAGATCCACACAACCAAGCAGAGTTAAAAAACATATCATTCATCACAAGTCAGCAAAGACACATTATTAAGCTTGGCCTTTTAATTTTACTTTGAGTCTTTTAAATCACTTCACTAAAACTTCACTAACACTTAAAAAGTGTTGAAGTGTAGGTACACTTTGCCACATCATTCGACTGAATTTGAATTTTTATTTCCTCTGTGCTTATCGATGCAACGGTTGAACAGGAACTATATAGAAATATTGTCCACCCGGCGTCATCCTTAGGAAAAAAATGAATTGATGAATCGCATCCAATGCTGCATTCCGTATTTCCTCATGTTTAAGTGCATCCCCAAAAAGCCACCCATTGTATTACAATTACAACCCAGGAAAAGAGCGAGTTCGGCATCGAGTGACGAGGGGCAGGGAAACGCACATACCTGAGAGATGAGACGCAGCGTGAGAAAGTGCGGGATTTTTCGCCACTTGTGGCTGGACAAGTACGCCGCCAGGACCCAGACGCACCAGATGAGCCCGATGATGCTGATGTTGAAGAGGAAGGCGCTGAGCTCGTGGATGTAGTCCGCGGGCCGCACCGCCTTCAGCGTCACCATCTTCGCCGACACGAACATCAGCGGGGCCGACAGGAACGTCCCCATCACCATCGCGCTTGCGATCTGTCGTTGGCATGCGATCGTCGCTTGAATTAAGTCGCGACCGGAAGAAATTGTCATCTCAAGAGAAATAAATGGGTCGAGGAACAGGGAATGTAGGCGATCCCAGGAAGTTCGGCATTGCCTAACGGTGAAGCTAAGTTTTCATTTCAGGGCAAAAACGAAAACATTGTCTCCCGTGCCTCTTGCTTTTGTGTCATAATGCTCTCATTTTTCTTCTTAGATATCATGAT